TGTGACTCTTCGCTGTAGCTGCGGCTGTCGATGTCATCGCCTCACAGCCATATCCACCGACACCCCACCCCACACCCCACACCCACACCCCACACCCACACCCACACCCACACCCACACACTCATACCCACACCCACACCCACCCACACCCACCCACACCCACACACCCACAACCACACCCCACCCACACCCACCCACACCCCACCCACACCCACCCACACCCCACCCACACCCACACACACCCACCCACACCCCACACCTACATCCACCCACGCCCACACCCACTCACACACCCACACCCGCACCCACACCCACACTCACACCCACAGCCATAGCCACAGCCACACGAACAACTTATCTATTATCAAAGCTCCGGTTCTCGCTATCCGATTTAATTTTGGGATTCAAGTTTATTCAGAAAGAAAGATGACAATATTAATAGCTAAATGAATAGGTATAAATGAACAATAAAGAATTGCCGACATACAGCTTTTTCAGTGGTTCTTACTTAAGTCGGATGAAATATTTAATGCAAGTAATTGAAGCAATAACTCTTTTGGCACTTGGTTAATATTTATTGGATCTTCATCTGTTAAATTACATATTTGATCTGCTACATCTCTGATGTAAGTGTTCAGTTCCAGTGCTGGTGTATTGTGGTATTTTATTAATTCTTTACTGTAAATCATCAGATCGTTATAAGACAAATAGCCGGTCGATTTTCCGCGACAGCGGCGACTTAATTCTTTTTTAATAGCTTTACGATCAGGCTTATCCCTGGTTCGGTCATGTATTTCAAGTAGTTTATCCACTGTATATTCTGACCATACTTTGTTTGAAGTGGTATTGAAGTGTTCATTGTTATTGGTTATTGTTGTACACGATTGTTCTTTCTCCGTTTCTGTTGGCAATGGAGACGAAGTTGCTACTGCACTAGATAAAGAATCTCTCTTCTCTTCGCCGGAAGTTGAACAAAGGAGATCACGATTGAATGGCATTATTTCTTGTTCTTTTGGTTCATTTGATGGGAGAGTAGAAGGAACAGGAGTAGGGACAGCACTTGCGGGAAGAATTGTCTCCGTAAGAAAACTGTTGGTCGCTGTTGTCAATGTTTGATTCTCGTCATTTCTTTCACTCGTAGTCACAGGTACATCATCTTTAGCCGTATATGTTTCAGCTGAACATGAATCCACTTCGTCATCGTTCGATGTTGATGGATAAACACGTGGCTGTTCGTTGTATGTCAAATGATTAACAGTCTGCTTGGACTCTAATTCATTGCATAATGTTTCTAATCGTCTAATAAATGCCATTGCTCGCTGTCTAACGGATTGTGATTGCAGCGCATTATGATCACGTTTCAAAAATTGGATGGTTAAAACTAATTCTTCCGTTGCATTGAATCCAGCACACATTCGCTTTAGTCCACGGCAGGTCTGGTCTATACGTCGGTACTGGTTTTCTAACTGCTGTTCAATAGATCTTTTAGCTTCATAGAACTTATCTCGTGTTTCATCGCAATCTTTTTTCTTTTCATTTGCTGATTGAAATTGCTTTTTCATTTCTCTTAACACCTCTTTCACTTTCCTCGTTTCAATGACGATGTCCTTCCGAGCATGATAATGTAGTTCGTATGGACACCGTGACACACAGTGACTACATATGCCATTGGTAATTGCCCAACACCTTTCAAATATTTTATCTCCAAGATTTGTTGTTTCCTTTAAGCTACAATTTTGATGGCATACCTCATTACAATTAGAACACAAAGCATTACGATAATCAACATCAATCATGCGTTTGACAGTCGTTTCTCGATCTCTTTCGAAGTTTTTATAGTATTCACTATTTTGACCATATCTCTGTATAGCACGTTCAAGTGCATCTAATTCATCTTCAAATTGTTGTAATTGACTAATTAAGACACGTGACTCATGTAGAATACTTTTAATACGATGGCGATCTTGTTGCATGTCGTTCAATGTACTCGTTGAAACTGGTAATATATTTCCAAAAAGATAAATTAATTTTTTTATGGCAACCATTGATGCATCCCAATCTTTTTGTAATGCCCACAGAGTTTCAGGGTCCCATGTGTTCGGATGTGATGAAAATGCCGAATTTTGCATGCAGAAAGCAGTAGTTTTTTCTGTCAAGCCAATTTTTTCAGGTTCAAAGTTAACGGAATGACTATGACAATTTGTTAATATAACAATAACGTTATTCAAAATATTGTTCGGTAAGCGATCTGCTAATCGAGTTAATACACTTTTAACATTAGTTGTATGACGCCCTTGCGCACCATTCAAAAAGAGTAGAATAGCTGCTATGTCATGTAATTCTTGGACTGTATCGAACATATGAGCCAAATTTTCGTTGTCCCGTTGAATGCCACCTGTATCACCAATACCAGGAGTATCGATGAACACGTAATTTTGTTCTTTCGAAACAAATATATACTTTTGACATTCTTTTGTTTTACTCCTTGTATTGTCTCCAATAGCATTTTTATTACTCTTCATGTTTTCTGTTTGGGTCAAGTATCGAGTAGGTATGGCAACGCGGAGCTCGGTCAATCTGCCACCCACGTAGTAATTTGTTAAATAATTGATAAATGTACTTTTTCCTAAGAATAAAAAATATTTTAGGAATGACATTCTAACCTCACACTTGTTAGAAGGTTCAACTTCAAGGATGTACCGTGTTTCCAATCCCAAGGACGGGTAGTAAAAATTTGTTTCGCTGTGCTGGGCTGTGAGTGTGGGTAGGGGTGTTGATTATATCTTCATCTACCTCCATACCGACACCCATACCCACACCCACACCCTCAATTAGACATTACGAACCTGCACCAGTTTCACCAAGCAGAATTATGTTTATGTCTGATGCCATGCTTTGAAGTTATCGTGTTTTGATAAATCTAGAAACTGAAAATGAGAAGAAACGTAAAAATTGATTTCAAGTGTTTCATAAGACTCTACTTTTTAACACTATTCAAAGTCAGCTATATATGTACCAAGAATCCACTTATTCCGACAGAAATATATCTTTAAGGATGAGAGCTGCCGCATATCCAAGAGACCGGGGATGCGGGAGATGCAACGGGAGATGAGACATATAGCTATAAAAGTAAACTTTCCCAGACTATTCAATTATTACAGCTCTATGAGATCTCCCATCACATCTCTTCAGAAAACCCATCCATCTCTCGTCATCTCCTGAGAACAACTTTCTTGTACTCTATTGTATTGGTGACGAATTCTACTTTTTATCGGGGCTTATTATTTATTTTGCAAATTTTAGCTTTCTCACGAGGGAAGGTCACCAACTGTTCAATCGCTTTTGCGTTGAAACTATTTGCATTATGTAGTTTCCAAAGAGTTATGAATACGCTGAAAATATTTTGGGCGGATAGCTTATTGAACGAAAATAGTCCATTTGTAAGGTATGGTTTTTATTGAGTGCCTGGGGTCCCCCCTCAGGAATATTAAAAAAACTGATTTTCGAATTTCGACTTGAAATTTTACATAGAAAGATGCTCCAAGGAGAACAACTTTTTGTGAACGTTTCAGATCTTTCTAGTGTTCCTGTCACTGGACACTGCTATTGTGAAATTTGTATTTTATATCCTTCAAATAAAGTAGCAGATTTGGTGAAACAAACAATCAAAAGACCTAAAACTTTCAGAAAGCACTATTCTTGTTGAGAAGTATTTCTATGTGAAGTTTCAAGTCGAAATCCGAATATCAATTTTTCTAATGTTCCTGAGGGGGACCACGACAATCATCAAAAACATATCTTACAAATGAACTATTTTCGTAACAATAAGGTATCCGCCCAAAATATTTTCGGCGTATTCGTAACTCTTTGGGAACTACATAACGCAAATAGTTTCAACGCAAAAGCGATTGAACAGTTGGTGGCCTTCCCTCGTCAGTGTATGCGTAGGTCTGCATTATGATGTCTTTCTGTTTCCTGATCGCTTCATTTCATACGTGTGAACGCGTTCGCGTGGACCGCTCGTGCCATAACCAGCGCAGGGTTAATTGCGAGGCGCACAAATACTGGACCTCTTCGTCCAAGCGCCAAACAATTTGAACGGTTGGGGTGTGAGTGTGGGTGTGATGGGCGAGGGTGTGGGTGGATGTGGGTGTGAGTAAGGGTGCAACAAATCTCTAACACATTTGTGATTTAGGAGCAAGTCTGTGAGACTTGGATGTGAATTTTGATCTGATTTCTGAAATTTGGGATTTGGTCTCGATTTGGTTCCCGACTTGAATTTTGTTTGACTTTGGATTGCAGCTATCATTTGGATCCGGTTCGGACTTATCACTAAGGATTTTAATTATATCTAGATTTGGAATGGAGGATTTGGATTTGGGTTTGAACTTGGGTCTAAGAGATGGATTTCAATGTGGGATTTGGTTTCCGTCTAACATGACTGGAACTTTTGATTTATGATAGAGTGAAACCAAATCCGAACACCAAATCCAAATCCAAATCCAACCATTAAGCACTCATATCCTCAACCAAAGCCCACGTCCCAATTCCAAACCGTTTCTCATCAATTTTGAAGACTTTCGATTCTTTTCATTATTTCGGTGCTTTATCTTACAGCGCTTCATCGGTTTTTGGTGCTTTGAAACCAAGCTCAAACCCAAATCTAAATCCAAATCCAAGTCTCAGTTAAATCCAAATCTTTCTACACCAAATTCTTAAAGATTTGAATTAGTTGCATCCCTAGGTGAGAGCATGGGTGTAGGTGTCGATTCACTGAAGACCCACACCCACCCAACCACTCTACATACCCACGCTCACGCCCAGACCAGAAACGACGGGTTATAGTTGGTATTCTGCCATTATGTTGAAAAAGGGAAACTATTCCTAGGAACCGTGCTGAAAATGGTAGCCGTGGCGGGTGAGCGTCTTTCAAGGAGGAGGAAGCAGATTTCAAGATTTCAAAAGATTCCAATTAAAGGAAATCTGCGTGCTCTAATAAATCTCTACTTGAGAGCTAATCCGCCCTCATTTTCTGTGCTTTGCGATGGGACTTATTCTATCTGCTGAAGAAAAGATCTTATAGGGTGTGTGTGGATGTGCGTATAGCGTTTGGGGTGTGGGCGTAGGTGTGGATATGGATGTTGATGCAGATGTGTGGATGTCCGCGTGAGATGTGCTTTTGTATGGGTGTCTGGTTGTGTATGTATCAATCTTCGCTACATCCACACTCCTGAATGGCCCCTTGGTGTACTGCCATATTCATCGAATATGCGGCCGTTTTACGGCACGGATACTATTGAAAGCGATGAGCATATGGCGCTATATACGGCATGGCGTCATACGACCGTAATACTGTCCGTACCAAACGAGTAGTTTACGACCCTTATATAGCCATATTTCATTGGGTTGCCGACGGCGACTCGCCGTGCACGACCGCGAGTAATTGATCTGAATCAGTCATTTTATTATTTAGATCTAATAGAAGATCTTCGAGCTTACGACTAGAAGGCAGAAATAGCCACAACTATTCGATCTGTTCAGATCGTTTCACTGAACGTATGTCTTTCAGTTTTCTCATATTTCGCATCACACCAAGCAATACATACCTATATTTAAACTATTTATGTGATCGCGCTTGAAAAGATGCTTCTTTATTACTATATATGGTCTCTAAAAAAATATTTCTCTTCAATGTCGATTTTTCTCGCTTCAAAAATGAATGATGAAGACTTAAAAAAATCTTCTGGTGAAATCAATGTGCTGTTTTACATTGCCATTGCCTGTGCAATAACAACTCTCTTTAAAAAGAAGTTTCCTGCATGAGGGAAAGAAAATAATTCCGTCATAATGACACAGACTCGCTTGTTTATGGGTTTTTTCCAACCTTGAAGAAAATAAAATTGCAGTATAAAAGTCTATCATTGTAGAGGAAGCTCGTGCAACAGCAAAAAGACAAATTTTCAGGATAACACAACAACTACACAATTAGCAAACAAAGAATCTTGGTAAGTTTTTTTGCATCTTTTTAGTGGTCTTATTTTGAGAAAAAGTTCGCGACAGAACCATCCTAGGCCACCGGGGAAAAAAAATTTTTTAATTTAGTTATCTCAAATGAAAGGTCTAGTTAAACCATGGTCAAATCCAAAATAATAGGCTATTTAGTTTTACCTATGAAAAACTGGAGCTATAACAAGTTTTAACGGTCTATTTTGACCCTAAAATATCGCGAAAAAGCTTGTTAGCGCAGCCCCTTTGGAGTTGAAATGTGGAACTCACGTATATTCTTCAGCTTCATTATACTAATATGCAATATAGATAGTATAAAATCACAAATTTTTCAATTTCCTGACAGACGCCCTTATTTTTCGTCTTCTTTGTTGCTATTCGCTCAGTATTTTTCATTTTTAACACTGCTTTTTTCTTTAATTTTGCATTTTTATTATAAGAAGCATTGAATTATATGACGAATAAAGCTGTTACATGTATATGTATATGTATATCCATTATTTTAAACCTGGTCGCTAAGGTCTGTAATGCGGGCCTGTCTGTAATGGGGGGTATGTCTGTAATGTTCTCTTCCGTTGCTATGGTTTGTAATGGAGGCCTGTCTGTAAGGGGAGAAGGGATGGGGAGCCGTGAAATCTTGACCTTAAAGCTTACACTCACTATTTTCTCCGAAAATATACGTGAGTTCCACAAAAAGGGGTGTTCTCAGTACTTTGACACTTTCTCAATAACGATTTGACCGTTTGACGTCAAGAACGTCTCATTAGATCGAGAACAGTATAGGTTACAAATTTATCCTATTCAAGTGACTGATATATAGAGTAAAAGAAACGCTATGGATGAGAAACCGCCTAAGCCTCAAGAAATCCCACTTTCCAGAATGGGAGTATTTTCGAAATTTCTTGAATTGTGCAAAAGGGCCTAGACTTTCTTTTCTTACCAGATATAGATCTCGCCAAAACACATCTTTTGACATTAAATTATCCAATGTAAAGAATTGGGAGGGGGGAGAACAAGTTAGTATTAACCACACGTGAGTTACCCTACATAGTTATCAGTGATTCTACTCCTCAAAGTCACACAATTTCTTTAGAAATCACGAAAACTGACTTCAGATTTGTGTTCAGCTCACAAAGCTGGGTCGGATAGGTTATTTTAAATTGGTTTCTTACTTGTACCAAGCATGTTCAAGATCATGAGTGAACCTCATGGATATATGGTAGATATATGCAACGATGTTTTGATAATAATTCACCAATATTAATAGCTATCGATTGGGTGGGTCGGGTGTGGACGTGGGTGTCAGTATCGATCTTCTCTTCATCCACACCCATATCCAACGCCCACACTCACTCCCACTCCCACACCCACACCCACACCCTCAAGAATTCAGAATTCACGGAATTCGAACACATCTCAAATTTTGTAATCTCATTGGTTTCGTATGAAAATCCTTCCAAGTTTCGTAGCCGATCGAAGATTTGTGGTATATCTCTCAAGAGTATCGTAGTCCAAAGATTTCGTATCAATCTGTTTTCTTTTCTAGTTTCATCTAGAATAGAAACAGCTACTCACCAATCAGAAACTTTATCAATCTAAATCGTTTGTACATGTACTCATTTATCATTCACTTTGCAATCGCATTTGGATATTTTAATACTACGTTTAGAATTAATATTTTTCTATATGGGGCGACTTCTGGAAGCAACAGAAAACACACCAGTTACGCTGCAATCAAAGTCTTATGAAATTTGATACAAATCAATATCTTTATTGGAGGTTTTTAGTACTTCAGAAGATGCTCCGGACACTATTTTAGATTCTCTGCATACTTGCGAGGCAATGTTTTCAACTGTCAGATCCCTTTTCAGTTCGGATTTGGTGCATAAGATAGATCCCATTGAGGTATGAAAAATCCCAAAACATTAGATCCTCTCAGGCCTTCTGTCCAGAGTTATAAGCATTTTACTGGAATTTCAGCCTACGGGATGGTATATACGAACAAATCAAATGATGGTATTTTGATCTGTGATTTTGCCCACAGGCAGATCTATGCATGAGTGGAATGATCTGAAAATTTCAGATCAAAATAACTGTTCTTTCCCGAGATATTGAAGTCCCAAAAATGACTCATATACGACAAACATGCTGGGATTTTCTGTGTTTTTAGGACTTCAATACCTCTGGAAGGAAAAGTTCTTTTGACCTGAAATTTTCAGCACATTCTACTCATGCGTAGACCTGCCTGTGGGCAAAATCTCAGATCGAAATACCATAATTCGATTTGTTCGTATATACCATCCCCTACGCTAAAATTCCAGTAAAATGCTTATAACTCTGGACAGAAGGCCTAAGAGAATTTAATCCTTTAGAATTTTTTATACCTCAACGGAATCTATCTTATGCACCAAGCTCGAACTCAAAACGGATTTGACAGTTGAAAATGTTTCCTCGTTAGGCACTTTTGAAAATTCAAATTCAGTCGACTTGAATTGGTAACCTTTCGAATGAAAATGTAAGGGCTCGAAAGAGTATTTAGGTTTCTTTCATATCGGCAAGATGAGAATGCAACAGAAATTGTGTGAAAAAAATCCAGAAAATTTTGCTACAGAAGTCTGTTACCGAAAGAAGTTATCTAGCCAATAATAAAAAGAATTGCAAGATTCAAATAGAACTTGGAGAAGGATAAGATGGAAACTTTTAGTTAAATAAGTAGATATAGCACAAGTACACCAGCTTCACGATAGTCCATAAGGTCATCATCTGTAGTTTTTATTCCAATTTTGTTCTCTTTTTGCCATCAGTACTTTAATATACGTGATAATAAATACTTTCATGGTATTGTATTCGCATGCAGTTGACTGTACAAAGGACACTTTTAGAAAGACGGGCTCATATATGTGGTTTATTTTGTGTGTTTGATAGGATAGTTTAATATTTGGGCAATGGCTAAATATCTGAAAAAAGTGCTTCGATCAATTTTTCCACGTGAAAAACCCGATGCTGATAAATGGATAAATATTGCAGTTATTGGCGAAACTGGTAACACTTGAAATATATTGCTAAAAGTGTTTTACAAAGATTTCTATCGTCTTTCAGGATCGGGAAAATCAACATTTATCAACACTCTAACCAATTATTTTTTGAAAGGTTCGCTAAATAATTTAAAAGTAGCTATACCTACACGATATTCATCAGCAACAGAATCATTCGATCATACTGAAAAAGATATCGATGATGTTACCAAATCGAAAACTGATATGTGTCATCACTATACCTTTGAAGATGATGAAACAGGCAAATATTATTTATTTATTGATACACCAGGTCTTAATGATACCCGTGGAGCTGACCAAGATGCTTTAAACATTCCAAAAATACGACAAGCTATCGCAGATTTAGGTCATCTGTCAGCAGTAATCCTTGTTATTTCCGGATCACTCTGTCGCTTAACAGCGGGTATGCGAAATGTATTAATTAGTTTACGTGGGAATTTACCAGATATTGTGCTCGATAATGTTATTGTTGTATTAACAAATGTTCAACGTCATACATCCAATTTTGATTTAAATTGTCTCGAAATAAATGGTAATATTTTTCCATATTATATGCAAAATTCGGCTTTTTCGAAAGATCCAAGACGACGAACTGAAGAAGATATGGTTTCACTCAAAGCAGATTGGAAAGATTCGATGAAAGAAATTAAAACAATGTTACAAAAAATCAATACATTTCAAGCGAAATCCGTTGCAGCATTCAAAGATCTGGAGAATCAACGTAATATTATAAAAGCATTAATGACTGAAGCAAAATTAGAAGTAACAAATATTCAAAAAATGCAGGATGAAATAGCTTCACTTCAACAAGCACTGAAAAAATATGGTGACGATGAATCTATGTATCAACAATATACGCAAGAAACTGTTTTAGATGTAAAGGAAATTGTGGATGCTGAATATCACAGCACCATGTGTTCAAAATGTGACAATGTTTGCCATGATCGTTGCAGTTTAAACGAAACTACCGTTGTTGGTCACGACATCTTTCAAGGTTGTGTTGCTATGCGAGAAGGGCAATGTACACAATGTCCCTTACTCTGTAGCTGGGCGGAACATTTTCACGCCAGAAAAACAATTCAAGTCAAACAGCAAACAGTGGAAAAAGTATTAGAAGATATAAAGGCTAAATATGATATAGCAACGCAAGGTAAAATTGATTTATCCAGTCCTTTATGGCTCCAATTATATGCTAATCTTGTGTTTCCGGATAGAACACTTCCTAGAGATAGAGACCTTTTTCGTGTGTGTGTTTCTAAAATTAATCCAGACACACTTTACATTTAAGATAACGAAATTTCTGTCTTCATCTATTTTCTATCTCTTCAGGAAAGACGGATGCAACGCAAAAGTTGACAACCTTGAATGATAATAAACAAATGCTAAAGGAAGCACTAAAAGCTAAAAATGAAGAAATTAAACGTGAATGCATTAAAATCAAAAAAATATGCGGCGGATTTAATCTCGTCGATGAACTGTATGCAACGATAAATCTCCTCCAACTGGAAGCGAGGAATATAAAAGACGTGAGCGCACGACAACAAGCAGAAGACTTTATTCAAAACTTAACTGAATTTTGTGACTCACTCAGAGATGATACTCAAAACCAAATCGATAAATCAGCATTGAGACATAAGCCAAAAATACAAGATACATACGTACCAATTGATAAATCAGAGCTACCTTATCAAGAAGATTCATTTTCAAGACGATCGAATACGAATGTACGAAGACGCAAATTTCCAAACAGAAGAGCGTTAGGGAATTCTCGTCTACACGTACGAGCATATGATGATGTTGAAAACGAACAACAACATCCGGACACACAGGCTAAAGCTGCTAAACTGGAGCAAATGATATTGCAAAAAAAAGCACTGAGAAACGATTCTAAGATTGTAATACCTATAGTACAAGCAAATGGGACTCCTTCGAATGTTTCGATATCATCATTGTCAACGACAGCAGCAATAACCGCCGATCAATTGGATTCAATGAAAATACCAGATCTTTTAATTAAACATACTGCGTACTACCAAAATCGTGATTTGCAGAACTATTTACTGGCTCAGAAGGAATTAGAAAATCGTGCTTCGGGAAAATCATTGGGCCCACTGACATCCAATGAACAAGATTCACTTTTTGATTTTCGAACACAATTTGAGAAATATGATTCCGCAAGTTTGAGCAAAGAATATATTACCTTACAACAAACGATTAATAGGGCAATAGAAGTAGATATACAACAAATTAGTAAAATACCATTCACCACATTGTTGAAAATTGCCGCCCTTTATATGCTATTGCAAAAGCACCAGCAGCAACGAAATACGGACAACAACAACGGTGCTTACAATATATCACAGGCACAACGTGTCTCACCGACACAATCGATGTCTAGCATTGGACGAGAATCCGGCACTCATACTTCGCCTCCAAATATGACGACGTTACCAAAAGAATTTCAAACTATTCATACAAGCAATACGACAGAAGCACCACCAATAGGCTTTCATGGTCATATTACAACCGATTTGCTTACAAATTCATTTCGAAATTTATCATTAAGTGACGAATCAAATGGCGTATTGGTTAGCTACTATATGGATGCCGTAAATTTTAATAATTATGTTGAAAGAAATTTAATCTCTGAAGAGCTGAAGCATCGATTAGATGGAGAACGGTTCGGCAGAAAAACACCCGAAGAAAATACACACTATGAATCGTTACGCAGCTATTATTTATCTCAATCTGTTCAATTTGTTCAGCAACAATATAAACATCTGCACGACACAATAGGCTCCTATGTTCAAGATGTGCCTGCACGTATTCTAGACATATCTTCGTATGATCTGTTAACCCTTTGTGTGTTATATACTTTATTGCCTGGTAATCCGCCACCTTACAGTACATATTCATCCTCTCATCACAATACAGTTTATAATTCAACAAGCCTTAGACAAAATCAACCATCAACATCCAGACCAATAGTCTCCGATTTACCAAACACATTTCTGTCAGCATCACCTCATCAAGAATTTCGAAACACGCCGTATAATGAGATTGAAAATGCAACAACAACGGCGTTCAAACAAGGAAATACAACCATGACAGAACTCCTTTCACTTCACGATGATTACTGTCGTCCTGCACCATCTAACAAATCATCATTGATACCACAGAGCACATTTGAACGTCATTGTGGCGAAAAAACAATAACATTAACAAAAGAAGGCGCAACAATTTATGATTCTGAAATTGATGTATATAAACCTTCGACTTATGAAGAATTGAAATTAATCTATTCAGCGATGATAAAAATGAGAGTTCAAGCAAAGGATGATGATGCAGATCATATAAAAAAGGCCGCGGAGCAAGCAAACATTAGGGCAATAGCTGTTCTACATTTGTTGAAATTAAAAGAAAAAGAAAATGAAAATTTAGATCAGTAAGTGGAAGACATGCATTGTCATTGTCATTTTTTTATCGTTAAAATATGATCAACTAACCAAATATAATGTAACTATGGCAAATGATGAAGAACGGTCTCACTTTCAAAAAAAGGCCCGCACAGAACCTTTTACGGTTCTAGAGTTGGCACTATTCTCTGAATCTTTTAAAGTTCTGGCATAATATAGTTCTATTTCGAACCTTTTTTTTCTGCTTCGAAAAAAAACGTAACGGGTATCGACTGTCAATACACTTCACTCTAGACTGAGCGAATTGAGACAAACATGAAGCCTTAGAGCTAAATAATCATAGTCGTCCTATGAAGTCTTTCGTGTCATAGCTTCTTGCTATCTTCATTTAAACAGTAGCTGATAGCCACAATTATGTGTGGCATAGTTAGTAACTATAGCCGTTCTAATAATAATTAATGGCTATAAACACTGATGCCATGTTTCCGATCGTTCGAATCATATTTGTGGCCATGTGTACCATCGATACAGTCACTTGTACCGTCCTTGTGGCCATTTATATAATCGATATGAGCACTTGTACCATCCTTATGCTCATTGGTAACTGCGTTATGGTCAGTTTTATCATGGCTGTGGTCATTCGTACCATCGATTTGGTCACTTGTACCAAAGATTACAGACAGACAGGTAAATCTCCGTTTTAAGACCCTATCCTTTCAGTCTAGGGAATTTACTCATCCAGCTGTGATTCATAACACAATAATGTGCTCACAAAAACACGATTAAAATATACTTCGTCAGACTTGATAATTTAATAAAAATGCTGTTCAACTTAATTTTTTTCTGTATTACTGTATATCGACCTCTTATTTTTAACAACATTGGCTAAGGCTGTTGCGTTTATAATCATTTGTGATATCATATGAATTACAAATATTTGCGGCTAAATTCTATCTTGGTTTATACATAGCACTGTGAACTATATTTATGGCCACTCTATCGTCACCGTGGTCACTTCTACCATGATTGTGGCCCTTTGTACCATCGTTGTGATCACTTGTACCATGACTATGGCCATATGTACCATCATTGAGGTCCTTCGCACCATCATTTTGGTCACTTGTACCACGTGTTGACAACAGACAGACTCAGATGAATTTCCGTTTCTAGACCCTATCCTTTCAGTCTAGGGAATAGTTCTACTCTAATGACAAACAATGCACACTAGTCATTTAGTCTAGCCCTGTTGATTTGACAAGAGTTTTTTTTGGAAACCTCACTATACCAAATAATCCAAATGAACTGCTTGCCACGAAAACGAATATTATAACGGCATTTACGGAGATGAACCTAAATAGAGAAAAATTTAATTTACTTTTTTAAAATAAAACTTACCATTGAACAAAATAGATATAACACAACAGTAATCAATAAGTAAACGTTTATTAGAGAACTTATTCATTTAATAAAATGTTGTTTGAGATATAATCTATAACCGACCTAACAAAAAAACTGATCAATCGGCTTGCACTGGAACCATCTGCGTAATTGAAGTTCAGCATTGAAAGAAGATACAAGATAAACGTCTCATACACACGTGAATTCATTTTGTGTCTGAAATGGCTCTTTAAATTACATAGAACCTTTGATGGTTTGATAATACAGAGACTGAACCTTAAACGGTTCAGCATCTTCGCTAAAACATCTCGATAGTTCCTAACGGTAGCTTTTTCAGATAGTATTAACAGTAAAGACATTATCTACTCATAATCAATCCTACTTTCTTTCTACTCGTCTGTAATTTCAGGTGATTTACTATGCCTCAACAACATTCCAAACATTTGTTTGAAAAAAAGCAACTGCACATCGTCGAGAGACGAAGAAAGATGGTTTTTCTGCCTGACGACGTAGTTCGTGTTTTCGGTGTTGTGTGTTTTCTGCTTGATTTTAAATCAATGTAACGTTAAAGATTGCGTTGTTTTACTTAATTAATGGTCAACTTATGGTTATCATCTAATCATGATCGAAAACAAAATTGAGTTCTCTCAAAGGACGGGGGTGGATATGCCAGCAAAATCGGCCCTATTTGAAATGTGTACCCCTTTTCTCTGTTATTCGAAAAGACACCAGCACCATTTTTTGTGAAAAGATAGCCCTTGGTATACCCTAAAAGATTGCAAAGACACAAGGGTTTAAAATGCTTGGGCAATACCTTTTCATACAGCCACAACGTATTGGGTATAGAAATACCATTGTGGTTTTATGAAAAGGTATTGCCCAAGCATTTCGAACCCTCGTCTTTTTACAATTTTTTAGAGCATGCTAAGAGCTATCTATGCGGAAAAAATGGCGCCGGTGTCTATTCGAATAATAGAGAAAACGGGTACATATTTCAAATAGGGGCGATTTCCCTAGCATATCCACCCCGTTTTTTGTACCACTTTTCTCTATTATTCGAATAGACACCGGTGCCATTTTTTTGTGCATAGATAGCTCTTAGCATGCTCCAAAAAATTGTAAAAACATGAGGATTCGAAATGCTTGGGCAATACCTTTTCATAAAACCACAATGGTATTTCTATACCCAATACGTTGTGGCTTTATGAAAAGGTATTGCCCAAGCATTTCAAATCCTTGTGTCTTTGCAACTTTTTAGGGTATACCAAGGGCTATCTTTGCACAAAAAATGGTGTTGGTGTCTATTCGAATAATAGAGAAAAGGGGTACACATTTCAAATAGGGCCGATTTTGCTAAACTCCCCCCAGAATAAAAGGCCATGGCCTTCTATTAAGGAAATTCACATCGGTCTTTTCAGGGTGGCCTTCTAATACGACTTTTGCTGTAAAAAATTACAATTTTTTTTTGTTAGCTACTAATTTTGTTTTTCTAGCTCGGCAACTGAAAATTGAAATCTTCGTCAATGAATTTCTTCTTAATATTTTGATCGTGGTCTTCGTCGAAACTAAGTCCAGTATCATCAGCAGAATCCAAATTTAAATAATTATTTAAACGAACAAGTAAATTTTCACTATCTTCTGTATCACAAACGATTTGCAATTGATCACTTTCTGCTGAACTATCCGATTCCTGTTCATTGTCGCTGATACATGATAATGGCAGTAAGTGTTCATCACATTCTTCATACATATCTTTGTTTCGCTGTTGAATTTTATCTGACTATATAATGGGTACATATATTGCATTTTATGGATATGATTGAATTGTTTTCGAAAGATGTATTCTTTTCTCTCGCTATAATGGCCTAATCTATTGTCTAAACTTACTCGTCATATTATTTATTTTAAACAAATGTTACAGTGATGCTTTTGACATCTTTCAAAAGGTCATTATGAACACTAAAGTTATATGAAAGAAATTTACAGATAATATATGAGTCAGTTTTTTCCCTTTTTTTTCTTTTCGTTCTGTTCTGAACATTTCACTATGAAGGTGAGAAATGATTTTGTCTCAGCGCAATGCTCAGAACAGAACGAAAGAGAAAAAAAAAGATAGGAAAAATTGTCTCATATATTATCTGTAAATTTTGGTCATATAACTTTAATGTTAATAATGACCTTTTGAGAGACGTCGAAAGCTTCACCATATATTTTTATTTAAAACAAATAAAATTATTGATGAATTAGTTTATTCACTTATTTATATTTCATCAATAAATATTAGTATACTTATCCGACATCTAGCATCACAAATGCTTCAAAGAACAGAAAAGTTTTTATATGTATTCAAAAGATATGTAATCGTACCAAAGAAAAAGAATTCAAGCGATCAAATATGTATATTAAACTTTGTTTGGTTTTGACAGCTTTTGGAAATTGAACATAGCTCTTTAAATTTATGGCAAAACCAAACAGGAGTGCGATGGAGATCATACATGATCTGTCAAAATGCTAAGATATTTATAAAACTACTAGGGAATATTTATGTAATATCCAAACAATTAATTAGAAAGCCATGGCCTTCTAATGTGACTTTTGCAAATATGACTCA